CACATTCTTTACATCAATCACTATTCAAAAACTCATTCTTCAAAATAATGGGTGTCAAACGGGGCCAAATAGGCAAACATTTTGTATGCAAGCGATCATACCTACCTCATGAGCGGAATTGCCATTTCAACGAATTCCATTTGTAGATAATGTTATTTTAACGTATCAAAAGATGGATTTTGTCATATGTAAATCGAGATTTACATAATGAATTATATAATGCCACTCAACACTTCATCATTTGTCAGTTTGAGATATAATCAACTTCTTCGTCCAATTTTTTTCCCTCTACATCATTTACGATAATAGCTTGTATATATTTTTATATACAAATAGCAAAATCCTCACGAGAGTGGCTATATCAAAAGGAGAAATGCCCGTTAATCACGATTTGACCCATATTTTCCAATTCCAACCCGTGAACTAAATTAAAAAATTCGCCCGCTAAGACATTTCAACAAACGACTCTCCCCACGCACGCCAGTCCACACCAAAAAGAACTTTTCAACTGAAGCACAAAACCAAAATCAAACCCTCCATTAACACGACGCCGCTTATACTTTCCGGCGACGGAAATTCACATGGAATTCTCCGACGAGAGGTCATCGGATGGCAAAGTTTGGGGCTTATTCAAACTTCCATTCCGGAATCAGCACTCGACTAAGACGTCGTCTTCCTCTGGTTTTACTCATTATAATCAGCAGCAACAGAGTTACAATAATCATAATAATATTGATGATAATTCTCAGGTGGAAGGACCAAGGGCTCATGGTTCCAGCTCGGTTTCTTCTGTTGCCAGATCTCTGCTCCCGACTCGACGTCGTCTCAAGCTAGATCCCGCTAGCAAGCTCTATTTTCCTTGTAACAACTCTGTCTTCTGCATCTCTTTTTATGAAATTTGATCTCTAGTTGTTTGATATTCGTACAATTTGTCTCCTAATTAATTTTGTTTGGCAAAACTGTTGATTTAGTTGAATTAAGTTCGATCTGTATGTATGCTGTTGACAAGGATAGGTTCAATTTTATGCTTTCCATATGAGCTATAGGCGGATAAGGATATATAGCTTTGTTATTTCCATTTGTTAATGGCTGAATATTATGAAGATTTTTTAGGGGAAAGTGCTACAAAGAGAATTTTTTTACTTAAGATCATATTATGTCGATCTAAAATGTTATATAAACTAATTTTGATCAGTGTGAATGTCATAAAAACCATGTAAAGAGCCTTTTTATGAACCGTTGAAGTGAAAACCGGCTAAACTTCAAGTTATCCAATTGGTCAGGCATTGGGTTTGCTCCCTAGTGGTTACCGGTTTGAGTCCCCTCAAGGCTATTGATGTGAGTATCCGGTCGTAAATTTTAGGGCCCCGTGGAATTAGTCGAGGTGCGGGCAAACTGGCCCGGACATCCACTGTTATCAAAAAAAAAAAAAAATAGATAAATATATCTATTAGTATGAGTCATGCTCAATTTACTAATACCTTTGATTTCAAAGTAGCATTAAATTTGCTTGTATGTAACAAAGTATTTAACGAACTAAGAAAAGAACTCAAGTAACAATGTGTCTTACATGTTTGAAGGATCGAAAGATATGACATTCAAAGTAGACGATCAATTCTCTGAAAGCTTTAAAAATCAATAGCAATTAAGTACAATCATCATTTAACACTCCAAATTGTACATTTTATATAACATGCCAATATAAGTGCATAGTCGATAAGTGTATATTTGATAGGTGATTAAATTAGAATTTAAGTCATTATAAATTATAGACCTATGAAATATGTAATTAATAAGTGAGTGGTAATAGATCCTATAAACGTGTGAATAAAAAATATTTTGTGATATGTAATGATTAAAATATAAT